ATTACACTAGCTCAAACAAAATTTATTGACTAATCCCCTGAAAAAGTTGATGACGTCATCCCTCAAAAACCTATTTAGTAATAAATTTGTATTTTTGAAAAATCATTCAGGATTGTATTAGGAACTTGAATATTTTTTATTTTAAATTTCAAACTTCTGTCGTCTGTCTGGGATGTGTCGATTTTCATCAGACAGATAATTATTTCATTTAAAAATATGTAAAATCTGGATTCGGTTACCGAAGCTTTTTTGTCACAGTTCCAGAAAATTCCCGATTTTCAGAGGGACACATCCATTCCTACCTAACCCTCGGGATCTTTCTGTGTATTGTCTTTGAAGCAATTTGAAAGAATGTCGGGGATCCCATGTGTTTTATTTTTGAATTAATTTGAAAGAATCTTGGGTATCTTTTGTCTTGTTTTTGAAGTAATCTGAAACAATTTCTGGGAACCCTTGTGTATAGTTTTTGAAGTGATTAAAGAATCTCAGGGAACCCGTGTCTTAGTTTTGAAGTCGTTTGAAAGAATCTCGCGGATTCTCTGTGTTTTATTTTTGAAGCAGTTTGAAAGAATCTTGGGGATCCTTTGTATTGTTTTTAAAGTAATATGGAAAAATCTCGGGATCTCTTGTCTGCAGTTTGAAGTAATTTGAAAAACTCTCGGGGATCCCTTTGTGTATAGTTTTTGAAGTAGTTTGAAAGAATTTTGGGGATCCTTTGTTTTGTTTTTGAAGTAAGTAATCTGAAACAATTTCTGGGACCCCTTATGTTTAGTTTTTGAAGTGGTTTAAGAATCTCGGAGATCCCTTCCCTTATTTTAAAAGTAGTTTGAAAGAATCTCGTGGATCCCTTGTGTTTTATTTTTGGAGTAGTTTAAAATAATCTCGGGGACCCCTTGTGTTTTGTTTTCGAAGTAGTTTGAAAGAATCTCGGGGATACCTTGTCTTGTTTTTTGAAGTACATAATTTGAAAGAATCTCGCGCACTTCTATTGTCTGGGTTTTGAAATACATAATTTGCAAGAATCTCCTGTGTTTTTATTTTTGAAGTAGTCTGAAAAAATCTCGAGCACCTCTTGCGTCTGCTTTTTGAAGTAGTTTGAAAGAATCTCGCGGATCCCATGTGTTTAATTTTTGAAGTAATTTGAAAGAATCTTGGGGATCTTTTGTTTTGTTTTTCAAGGTAATCTGAAACAATTTCTGGAAACCCGTGTGTTTACTTTTTGAAGTATTTTAGAAAGAGTCTCGCGGATCCCTTGTGTTTTATGTTTGAAGTTATTTGAAAGAATCTCGAGGACCCCTTGTGTCTAGTTTTTAAAATAGTTTGAAAGAATCTCAGGGATCCTGTGTCTTAGTTTTGAAGTATGTAGTTCGAAAGAATCTCGTGGATCCCCTGTGTTTTATTTTTGAAGTAGTTTGAAAGAATCCCGCGGATCCTGTGTGTTTTATTTTTGAAGTAGTTTGAATGAATCTCGCGAATCCTCTGTGTTTTACTTTTGAGGTAGATTGAAAGAATCTTGGAGATCATTTGTCTTGTTTTTGAAGTAATTCGGAAAAATCTCGAGATCCCTAGTCTTGATTTTGAAGTAGTTTGAAATAGTCTCGGGAATCGCTTGTGTTTTATGTGTGAAGTAATTTGAAAAACTCTCAGGGATCCCCTTATGTATAGTTTTTGAAGTAGTTTGAAAGAATCTTGGGGATCCCTTGTCTTGTTTTTTGAAGTAATTTGAAAGAATCTCGCGGAATTCTATTGTCTATATTTTGAAGTACATAATTTGCAAGAATCTCTTGTGTATTTTTTAAGTAGTCTGAAATAATCTCGAGGACCTGTTGCGTATGATTTTTGAAGTAGTTTGAAAGAATCTCGCGGATCCCCTGTGTTTTATTTTTGAAGTAATTTGAAAAAATCCTGGGGATACCTTGTCATGTTTTTGAAGCAATTTGAAACAATTTTTGGGTACCTTGTGTTTAGTTTTTGATGTGTTTAAAGAATCTCGGGGATCCATTATCTTGTTTTTGAAATAGTTTGAAAAAATCTCGGGGATCCCTTGTCTTGTTTTTTGAAGTAATTCGAAAGAATCTCGCGGACTTGTTATGTCTGGGTTTTATTTTTGAAGTAGTTTGAAATAACTTCGAGGATCTCTTGCGTCTGGTTTTTGAAGTAGTCTGGAAGAATCTCGCGTATCCCCTGTGTTTTATTTTTGAAGTAATTTGAAAGAATCCTGGGGATCCCTTGTATTGTTTTTGAAGTAATTTGAAACAAACTTTGGACTTGTGTATAGTTTTTGAAGTGGTTAAAGAATCTCGGGGATTCATTATCTTTATTTTGAAGTAGTTTGAAAGAGTCTCGAGGATTCCTTGTACTTTATGTTCGAAGTAATTTGAAAGAACCTTGGGGAGCACTTGTATCTAATTTTTGAAGTAGTTTGAAAGAATCTCATTGATTCCCTATGTTTTATTTTTGAAGTAATTTGAAAAAATCTCAGGGATCCCTTGTCTTGTTTTTTGAATCAATGTGAAAGAACCTCGGAGACCTCTTGTGTTTTATTTTTGAAGTAGGTTGAACGAATCTCGGGGACTTCTTATGTCTGGTTTTAGAAGTACAGTGGACGCCGCTTAATGTGATCACTTTGGGACTCAGACAAATTGATCACACTAACCGACTGATAATAATAAGCGAAAACCACAATCAGAGACAGTAAAACTCGAAACAAAACAAAATCATGAACAAGACAGTGTTTATTACGCTGGTAGATGAAGGTACATAAACATTAGAATTTATTTTAAATTTTGGTTACCATTCCGAGAAAGGAACCCTCGATTTACTTTGGTTGTTGTAGAAATTTGTTAAGTAAGGGCTGAATTTTTTTTTTTTTTCTCTGATAAACTGAGATTTCGTCGTTTCGACGTGTTAATTGTTGCATAAGTCTACTCAGATTTAAAACAGAAAAAATTCGTTTGTTCAAAAGTCGAAAACGCACTGATTTTAAGTCTGTTTTTGACCACTGATTGTGGTTGTATAAAATGAGTAGTACCTTTTGAGAGCATTTAAAACACAATACTAGTTTCAGTCGTTTCGCTTCTCCAAAAAAGCAATTCCCGTTTGTTTAAGAATTGCGAGATTGATCACAATAAGCGAAATATTGATCACAATAAACGGAAAAATTGTAATGCATAGGTATTGCGTGGGCCCGTTCCAAGCCATTTTGATCACACTAAGCGATTGATAACATTAACCGTGATCATATTAAGCGGCGTCTACTGTACATAATTTGTAAGAATCTAGGGAAACTCCTGTGCATTAGTTTTGAAGTAGTTTGAAAGGATCTTGAGGACCTCTTGCGTCTGTTTTTTGCAGTAGTTTAAAATGTGTTTTATGTTTGAAGTAGTTTGAAAGAAACTTGGGGATCATTTGTCTTGTTTTTGAAGTAATTCGGAAGAATCTCGGGAATCCCGTCTCTTGTTTTTGAAGTAGTTTGAAAGAATCTCGCGGATTCCTTATGTTTTATTTTTGAAGTAGTTTGAAAAAATCTCGGGATCCCTTGTCTTGTTTTTTTAATCAATTTGAAAAAATCTCGGGGACCTCTTGTGTTTTATTTTTGAAGTAGGTTGAAAGAATTTTGAGGATCATTTGTCTTGTTTTTGAAGTAATTCGGAAGAATCTCGGGAATCCCGTCTCTTGTTTTTGAAGTAGTTTGAAAGAATCTCGTGGATTCCCTATGTTTTATTTTTGAAGTAGTTTGAAAAAATCTCGGGATCCCTTGTCTTGTTTTTTTAATCAATTTGAAAGAATCTCGGGGACCTCTTGTGTTTTATTTTTGAAGTAGGTTGAATGAATCCCGGGAACTTTTTGTGTCTAGTTTTTGAAGTAGTTTGAAAGAATCTTGGGAATCTCGTCTCTTGTTTTTGAAGTAGTTTGAAAGAATCTTGGTGATACCTTGTCATGTTTTTCAAGTAATTTGAAAGAATCTCGGAATCCTGTGAAAAATAATCTCTAAAATTATCGAATCGATGGTTGTTGAATTTTATGTATTTTGAGAAGTTCCGAGTAGCTGGTAAAAAAATTAACCAAAATTTGTTAAATCATCCCCACCAACAATTTGATGTTGTCATTTCAAAACTCTGCATAATATGTTCCATCTAAATTTTATAAAATAACATATTTCTGTAATCGTGGTGTATGAATCCGTCTTGAGTTTTTTACAAAAAAATACAAATTACGTTTTACACCAGTATGGCCCGTTACACTGTGACTGACTATCTATATTTTTGAACGTGTAAGGAATATCAAAAGAAATAAAATTTTGCAAAATCAAATTTTATAAATTTTCGAAGAAACTGGATTTGTTGGGTCATTTTTTTATGGAAATCTCACATTATAGTAGAAGTATAATAAAAGGGATTCGCGAAAATTTGATTTAGTGTTGTTAACAATCTAAAAACAAAATATCTATTTTAAACAACACAAAACTGACGATTAAATATAAAAATCCCATCCCAATCTGTAATGCTCGAACGTTTGTCCAAATTTTTTAGGTAAAATCTATATGCGGAAATTTAAAAAACTTTGCAATAAAATGAAACTATAAATTCTTAAATGTTTAAAAATCTGAAACCAACAAATTTTTAGAGGAATTCTAGAACACAATCGGCAAAAATATAAAAAAAATACAGAAAAACAAGCTTCTGAAAAATGGGCAAAGGCGGTTGAAAACGATGAAAAAATAAGGAAAAAATATTTGAAGAACATAAACATGACATAACACGTACGAACTAAAAAATTTTTGAAAATTTAAAAGTGTAATTCGTAAAATTACAAAATTTGTCTTACTCTCGAGAAGTAAAAGTGTGATGTTCTCGGCCGAAACACTTCCACGATTTACGTCCTTGGTGACTCCACCAAAGTATAAAATAAAACAGTACATGATCTCTAAACCATAAATTTATTGATAAGTACTAATGTTATTTACACAATAACGTAACATATTATATATCATCCAAACACAACCGCCGTCAGGTCGCTTTCACCACCCGATCCATATAAAAATATATCATCGTAAAAATTATAAAAGAAACAATAAAAAAGATATGCAGTATCACTTCAAGTGACTCGGTAACGAAACAAACTCAGAGCGAATCCCTAACCTAGAAACCGCAACGCAACGTCACTTTGTACAAGTCTTTGCCTCAGGGGGTCGAAATCACTAGATCCTCCGACCCGGAAAATGGTGTCACAGGTAGAACTCGGGCGAGCTCTGCCCGTCGGAGTTGAGGTGCTGCATCTGCTGGCGACCCAGCTGGAGGCGCTGCTTGAGCAGGTCCCGCTCCTGGCTCACCCGCGCCAGCTCGATCTTGACCCGGTGCAGCTCGCTCTGCAGGCTGCGGTTGGTCTGCTCCAGGTCGTGGCGCTGCTGGAGCCGCTTCGAGCGGCAGTTCTGCGCGTAGCCGCGGTTCTTGAGGGTGCGCCGCTTCTGCTTGAGCCGGACGACCTCCTCGCGGGGGCAGCCGTGGAGGCGCTTGTTGAGCTCGCGCACGGACAGGGTCATGAGCATCTCGTCGTTGAGGCCGAGGTCCTCGCTGCAGGTGGAGTAGCCGCTGGTGGTGTTGTGGTTGAGGCGGGGGGAGATGGTGCTGGCGCCGGAACAGACGGACTGGGGCCTGGAAGAAAGCAGAAGTGAAGAAAGAAAAAAAAGAGAACAATTTTTTGACTAACTATAGAAGAAACTGCAAAATTTCGAAAAAAATCCACCCTTCTGTGCACTAAAAAAACGTTAAAAATGAATTACATTTTCATGACTTCACAAACTTTGTGGAGTGTATGAAAGGACAAATTTTTCATAGGCGTTTCATCACATTTATAGTAATCCTAAAAATAAGTGGTCTGGAACTTTGTATAGAAAGAAATATTAAATACAGAAAACTTTTGGATTAGTTAAAGCACAAGCGGTATCTCATCTCAATAAAAATTTGTTGGTTATTTTTTTTAGCATGCCAACTTGGCAGACAAAAATATATAAAATTTTATTTAATATAGCTTTCGAAAAATATATACTTATATAGAAAGTTTATTCGTTGTGTGAAATTTAATTTATATTGATCTCATCACAAAGGATATTATAAGAAGCCTTAGAAATTTTGTAAAACGCATTTGGTTTTAGGAGAATTTTGAATGATGGTTGAATCCGATTATAATATTAAGTCTGCTAGTAGGTCATGAAATTTATTTTTAAAATAATGATGTTGGCAACCCCAGAGCGCTCCTTTCAGTTTGACAGCGCCGCCGGTTATATAACTGTCAAATAAATTGTCAAATATCTGCAATGCCAACATCATTTTTTTTTAATAAATTTCATAGCCTACTACAGAACTTTTTTGATCAGATGATATTATGTAGTACCAAGTACCCGCTGGCTATTAACAATTGAAACCAATTTTTGTGCTGGCAGTTCTGAATTATTGGCAGCAATGCTAGGATGTCAGTTCATAGTTAGTGTTGAAAAGTTGGCAGCTACTGATTTAGGGTCATTAATGTCAATTTCACAATCAGGTTTGCCATCCTAAATTTTAAATATGTTGTCTCTGTCATTTTTTAACGCATTTGTGGAATTTTTATTTTCCATCAATTTTTTTGGAAAATTTTTGAAAATTCTGTATAAATTTTTTTTGGTTGTTTAGTAAGGTATCGCAAATACAACTTCAGATTCGTACTCTGTAAACATTTGTCTATCAGACAATATTTTTGTCGGTCCAAAAATAGCCATTTTTGGCCAATTTTTAAAAATTTTTTGAAAATTTTATCGTTTCTTGATTTTTTGAGAAGGTATCGCAAATCCTATTTCAGATTCGTATTTTGTGGACAATTGCAAATCAAATAGTATTTTTCTTAGTCCACAAAGAGCCACGCTTAACACTTTTTTGGGAAAGTTTTGGAAATTTTATTTACTTTCCTCGTTAATCTGGATATGTAGTATTGAAAATACGTTTTCGAATTTATCATCTGTGGAGAATTCTGTATAAGGCAGAATTTGTTTCCACTGGAACAGAGGCACGTTTAACTATTTTTTGGAAAAATTTTGAAAATTCTGTGTAGTTTTTTTTTTGTCGTATAGTGAAGTATAAAAAATTTTAATCATCTGTTTTTGTTCTTTTTTTGAGGTGGCATCGCAAATACAATTTTAAATTCGTATTTTGTGAACAATTACACATAAAAACGTATCTTTCTTAGTCCACATGAGCAACTTTTAACACTTTTTTGGAAATTATATTTCCACTTTCCTCGCTCATCCGGAGATGTATCGCAAATATATTTTCAGATTTGTCAACTATGGAAAATTCTCTATAAGGCAGCATCTGTTTCCACTGGAATAGTCACGTTTTACTATTTTCTTGGAAAATTTTTGAAAATTCTGTCTAGATTTTTTGTTGTTTAGTGAGGTATCGCAAACACGACTTCAGATTCGTTGTCTGTGCGATTAATTACCCATAACACATCTTTCTCGGTCCAAAAATGCCACTTTTGGCGATTTTTGGAAATTTTTTAAAATCTAATCTTCTCTTCTCTTGAGTTTTTGAGGAGGTTTCGCAAATATAATTTAAAATTCGTATTTTGTGGACAATTGCACAAAAAACAATATCTTTCTCAGTCCACAAGAGCCACTTGACACACTTTTTTGGAAAATTTTTGGAAATTATATTTCCACTTTCCTCGCTCATCCGGAGATGCATCGCAAATATAGTTTTGGATTTGTCATCTGTGGAGAATTTTCTATTAAGGCAGTATCCGCCGTTTCCACTGGAATAGAGACACTTTAAAGTATTTTTTGGAAAATTTTTGAAAATTCTGTCTAGATTTCTTTGGTTGTTTAGTGAGGTATCGCAAACACGACTTCAGATTCGTAGTCTGTAAACAATTGTCTATAAGACAACATCTTTCTCGGTCCAAAATAACCCACTTTTGGTCATTTTTTGGAAAATTTTTGAAAATTTTATGCCCTCTTTCCTTGTTTGTTTTGAAGAGTTATCGCAAACACAATTTCAAATTCGTATTTTGTGGGCTAATGCGCATAAAACAATATCTTTCTTAGTCACAAAACAGCCACTTTAACACCTTTTTGGGAAATTTTTGGAAATCATATTTCCACTTTCGTTGCTCATCCGGAGATGCATCCCAAATATATTTTCGGATTTGTCACCTGTGGAGAACTCTCTATTAAGGCAGAATCTGTTTCCGCTGGAATAGAGTCATGTTTTACTATTTTTTCGGAAAATTTTTCAAAATTCTATCTAGACTTTTTTTGGTTATTTAGTCAGGTATCGTACACACGACTTCCGATTCGTCTTATGTATATAATTGTCTATAAGACATCATCTTTTTCGATCCAAAACCACATTTTTGACCATTTTTTGGAAAATTTTTGAAAATTTTACTTCCGTTTTTCTTGGTTATTTGAGAAGATATCGCAACAACGATTATAGATTCATATTTTGTGGACAACTGTTTAAAAACTGTATCTTCCTAGGTCCACAAAGAGTCACTTTTATCGCTTTCTCGGAAAATTTTTGGAAATTTGTCTATAAGACAGTATCTTTCTTGGTCCAAAAAGAGCCACTTTTGGCTATTGGAAATTTGTTGAAAATTTAATCTCCGCTTTTCTAGGTTATTAGAGAAAGTATCCCAAATACGATTCCAGATTCATTTTTTGTGGATAATTGCACACGAAACACTTTTTTTTGGAAAATTTTTGGAAATGTTATTTTGTTTCCGCGCTCATCTGGAGATGTATCGCAAATACATTTTCGGATTTGTCATTTGTGGAAAATTCTCTATTAAGTTAGCATCCGGTTTCACTAAAATAGAAACACGTTTATCAACTTTTTTGAAAAAATTTTGAAAATTCTGTCTAGATTTTTTTGGTTTAGTGAGTAACGCAAATAGACTTGAGATTCATACTCTGTAGACAACTGCACATAAGACAGCATTTTTCTTTGTAAAAAAAAATTTTTCGCCAAATTTTGGAAAATTTTATTTTGGTTTTTTTTATTATTAGAGAAAGTGTCGCAAATACAATTTCAGATTTGTCTTTTGTGGATAATTGCATATAAAACACTATTTTTCTTAGTCCGCAGAGAACCGCTTTTAACACTTTTTTGGAAAATTTTTGGAAATTTTATTTCCACTTTCCTGACTCATCTGGATTTGTACCGCAATTACATTTTCGGATTTGTCATCTGTGGAAAATTCTCTATAAGGCAGCATCAGTTCCACTGCAATAGAGACACGTTTTACTAGTTTTTGGAAAATTTTTGGTTATTCTGTCTAGTTTTTTTTTTGGTTTTTTGATGAAGTATCGTAAATAGACTTCAGATTCATACTCTGAGGACAACTGCTTATAAGACAGCATCTTCCTTGGTCCAAAAAGAGCCAGTTTTGGCCCAATTTTGAAAATTTTATCTTCGCTTTTCTTGGTTCTGGATTCTGGATTCTTAATTTTTCTTGGTTATAGAGAAAGTATCGCAAATGAGATTTCAGATTCGTTTTTTGTGCATAATTGCATATAAAACACTATTTTTCTTAGTCTGCAAAAAACCGTTTTTAACACTTCCTTGAAAAATTTTTGGAAATGTTATTTCCACTTTCCTATCTCATCTGGAGATGTGTCACAAATACATTTTCGGATTTGTCACTTGTGGAGAATTCACTAAAAGCAGCATCTTTTTTTCACTGGAATAGACACGTTTAACTATTTTTTGGAAAATTTTTGAAAATCCTGTCTAGATTTTTTTGGTACCGCAAATCGACTTCAAATTCGAACTGTATAAACAATCGTCTACAAAATGAGTTAAATAAGTAAATTGTGTGAATTATTTAATTTTCTACTATTGTTATTGGTTATCCATAAATTATAAATTCTGTTTAAACAAATCAATAATAAATAAAGTCATCGTTTCTGAAAATGAAATGTAAAATTTGGTTATTCAAACATTTTTTTTAACAAATAATAAAATTGTAATAATTGTAACTGGAATTTACTTGTCAAACTTTTAAGACTACGTCATCAGTTTGATGGAGGGGATGTGTGGACAAATTTTGAGTAACGTTTTACCAAATCGACAGATTTAAAGAACGTCAGTTAAAAATAATTACATCCATTTTTCTACATTTGCGCCAATTAGAATACAGAAAACCCTAAACACAATGAATACACAATTTTCACACTAGAAGACTTTCCTAAACGAACAACCTCAAATAACAATTACCCTAAAATACCAACACTACGGCAACAATTTTACTAACTTAATTTTAGCCGTAATGTTGGTTGATTCGTATCTGTTGTTAGAAAAAATTAGTCTCATATTAGTAGACAGATCTTCCCCCGCTCCTGAAGTATAGTCCTACAAATCTACTTTTTTCGAAAAAAATAGATAATACCGGTCACAGTGTAGGAAAAAAAGCACTGTTGTTTTATAAAATTTACTGGATACTTAAATTAAAATCCAAAGCGGATTCATAAACAACAAGTAGAGGAGTATGCTTTTTTATAAATTTTATGACATTTAATAGCATTTACCGTCACAAAACGTCGAGAGAACATGACTGTAGCCATTCGTCGGATGAACTCTATTATAATTCATTCTTAGCTTATGCTCGGGAAGTAAAAATGAAAGTTGATGCTGGAAATGCAAAAACTTGAACTTCCACAAGAGTTCGAACTTTTATTTTTCTTATTTAATAAAATTGATGAAGAATGTTGACCTCACGGCGTACGTAGGGTGCTACTTACGCGTTCACGTCACTTACACTTTTTCAAAAACAAATAGTCTCAAATATTTCCGCACCACAATTTAACAAACACTTCTTCGAAATAATTTTAAATAAAACTATTATTTCTTGGCTTTAGCTCGAATAACGCACAACAAAGCTCAAACGAATTTTACAGGAATACCACCAGTTTTAAAATTTTCAATTCGCTATTTTTGATTCACCTCTACATATGAAATATAGCGAGCGCAGCGAGCGTCATGTACCAACAAAATTTACATATTTAAAAGGAAACTAGCCGTTTAATCCGTGCTTCACATCCCTCAATTCCAAGATTTTCGTAGTGAGTTGTGTGATCAAGATATACCAAACATAGCAATGAAAATATACAATTATAAATTTAATTTTTTTGTAGCTAGAAGACATGTCGGGACGTCACTGATTAACTTTTTTAGTTGACAAAATTAACTGCTCAAGATTCTCTAAAATTCTGGAAGCAGAGTGACGATATCAAAATTTTGAGTATTTTTCCTAAGTAAATATTAAAATATCGAAAATTTTTCAAAATTTCGGATTTTAAGTACTTGCATTTCAAAATGACGAGTCTGTGATATTAAATAATTTATAAGCATTAGGAGAATGGGCGAAATGTTTGAGTTTTTAAATTTTTAAAATAGGCAAAAATTTTTGTAACATCCATTTTTTGATAGTTCACACAATCGTCACATTTTTGAAACCGAATTCTCCAACTATAACACCAAAAGCGGATATCAAAAACTACTATCGGAAAACAAAGTCATTCTGAAGCTTCAGTATCTATTTAGATTGTATTTATTTAAATTATTTAAATACTTGTATGTTAATTACCAAACAATGTATGTATATCAAAGCATCAAACATCATTAACACTTAACCTTTCACTACAGATGTAAATATGACCCATATTATCCACGTGGTTTTTTAAAAATTATAATGATAACAACATATCTACAATAATTCAGCTTGAAATAATTTCCAAATGAAGCAAAAAAGTAATGATAAAATCGAATGCAATGAACTTGTGAAATGCACATGTGCCACGTATTGATAACAGAATAATTATATCAAAATTTCTACATTAAAAATACATTTTGATTTTATGGTTTGAAATGATCTTAAAATCACCTCTGGTATCAACGACAATAAGACTAACAATAGAATCAATGACTTGACAACCAACACAATCACTTCATCCGTCGCCAAAATAGAACAAAGATTCACTTGATAAATGAACAAATATCAATCTCGTGACAATTTTGAAAGTCCGTTTGTCCAGTAGAACTTACAGATTTAATATCAATTTGATATTTAACTTCTAAAATTCTTACTTCATTCGTTGCCAAAACGCGACCAAACAAGAATTCTGGATCCAAGACGCATGTACTCAGAAGAACTCGCTGCCAATATCAATTTGATATTTGGTTCAAGCCCACCACTTCACTTATCAAAACAGAAACAGCAACAGCAATCAACGTTGTCGACAGCTTCTGATCAAAGGAAGAACAAGAACAGCCCATACCTTTGGTGGATGATATGGTGGCTGCCGTTGTCCATGACCATCCCCGATGGGATGTACTCCCGCCGCTCCCAGTCCGGCTCCCCGCCCATGCAGTGCAGGGGGCGCAGGTCCAGGGGCTGCGGCTCCGGGCGCATCGTCTGCGGGAACCACATCATTTCGTCCATCATGTTCGGCGGTCGGCAGTTGACCGGGGAGTTGCTCGGCGGCGTCTCCGGCGGCGTGCCGGGGTCGTTCATCAGCGTCATGTTGACCAGCACCGGCTGCTGGGGGTAGATGGGGTCCGGGGGCGGCGACAACGGCGGCATCCTGCGCTCGTCCGGCCACTGGCGGCAGCGCTCCCAGTCCGCCTCCGCCATCCGCTTGTCCTCGCTCTTCACCGTGACGCCCTCCAGGTGGTCGAGGACGAAGTCCTGCACGTATTCTTCTGCTAGATGCTGGTCCTCTTGGTCCATCCTGGCATGTGCACCGACAGTCTGCTGCATACGCACTGACACCCGTTTTCGCGTGGCATTCGAATGTCGCGGCGGCGGCGGAATGCGACTGAGAGCGGCGGCGGCCCGCGCGGCGGTTCGAGGGGGGCGGCGACTCGCTGGCACCGCCCCCGCCGCCGACGATAGGTGCGGGCGATTCCGCCGCCGAAATTTGTTTATACCTCTGTAGCCAGTCATCACGGGGGATATTCGCACCATATTGTTGTTAGAGGGCTCTATAGCGCCCATATTGCGACGGTGAAGTGCGACGTACCTATGCGGAGATGGGTTGGAGGGTTTTATTAAAAGGGTTTCGGAGCGCGAACGAACACTACAACTACTGCTGGATGGCCCGGCTTGATTTATCACCCTTGAAAGTCCGATAATATCGGACTTTTTCAGGGAGAGCTTTAAATTATTGATCTTGGGGGATTTCGGGCGGCAGCGGACCGACGCTCAAACAAATTGATTACGGGGTATTGTTTTTCAGCGTTTAGAAAGTGGACCACACGATACCAAAAAACACAACAAGAATTTACCAAAAAATATTACAAATATGTACTTCCAAAGCTTTAGAAGCTTAATAGGGCTTTAAAACTCTTCAGGTCAGGTTTTTCGAGCAGCCTTATTAAAAGTGGAGACATTATTCTTACAATTTATGATCATCTAATGATTTTGGAACACATAATATATTAAAAAAAATTGGTCTAAAGAGTTTAGACAGTACTTCCCTCGCTGTCGGAAACGTGACGACTGCATGCCTATTATGTTTTTTTTTCGCAGTGGATTTCAAAGAATTCGGTTTTGTAGTTCCTGAGTAAATCAATAAAATAAATTTACGCATTCATTAATTTTTTTGAGTCACCCTGTATATGCAAATCCAAAAAAAATCAATGGAGTGATAAATCACAAGTACAGACTCATCATATTTTGTACAGTTTAGATAGGATTTATTCGGCAAACTTTCGAGCTGACGTCATCAATTTTTTGGAGGGGATAAGCAAATGTATTTTGACTAAACATTTATTATGCTCTTTATAACCTTAAAACATCTGCAAGATTTCAAAGCATTCGGTTTTGCAGTTCATGATTAAATCAAAAAAATAAATTTACGCATTCATTAATTTTTTTGAGTCACCCTGTATATGCAAATCCAAAAAATATGAATGGAATGATAAATTACAAGTACAGACTCATCATATTTTTACAGTTTAGATAGGATTTATTCGGTAAACTTTCGAGCTGACGTCATTAATTTTTTGGAGGGGATAAGCAAATATATTTTGACTAAACATTTATTATGCTCTTTATAACCTTAAAACATCTGCAAGATTTCAAAGCATTCGGTTTTGTAGTTCCTGATTAAATCAATAAAATATACTTACGCATTCATTAATTTTTTTGAGTCACCCTGTATATGCAAATCCAAAAAATATGAATGGAGTGATAGATCACAAGTATAGACTCATCATATTTTGTACATTTTAGATATGATTTATTCCACAAACTTTTGAGCTGACGTCATCAAGTTTTTGGAGGGGATAAGCAAATATTTTTTGACTAAAGATTTATGATGCTCTTTATAGCCTTAAAACATCTGCAACATTTCAAAGCATTCTGGTTAGCAGATTAAAAATTAAATTTCAAAATGTTGTTTTATAATTTTGATTTTTTTTCCAAAAATCTGGACGTTTCGGGTGAAAAGTCGATTCAGAGTTGTAAACTACATGTGTAGGACTATGCTATTTTATACAATTGAAAACCCATTTACTATGTACAATTTTGAAGTGACGTCATCGCATTAGTGGTGGGGATGATTAGACAAATTTTAGTTAGCGTTTTACCATCTACATGATATTCTTAATATAAGTACAAAATTTCACAACAATCGGTCGAGTACTTTCGGAGATTATCTGTCTAATAAAATCCGGGACAACAGACGGACAGACGGACGGACAGACGGACGGACAGACGGACGGACAGACGGACGGACAGACGGACGGACAGACGGACGGACAGACGGACGGACAGACGGACGGACAGACGGACGGACAGACGGACGGACAGACAGACGGAAATGGGAGACCTATTTCTTCGTCTTCTAGGGGTCATGAAAGATCGAGAAAACGTAAAAGTAGAGAGTCGGCCGACGGACTCGATTACAATACTTCCTTTGCTTACGCTCGGGAAGTAAAAATAAGTATTGCTCAATCCAACGGACAATTTTCTCAGTAATTAGAAATAACAGCAGTCAGAAAATCATCTTCCTTTCATAATGAATTTTTTTCGTGGCTTCCCTTACACGATCCAATATAATTACCAAACAATCGGTATTTTCTTTTAATTTTCTGATCCATAAATGACCAATGAACAAGCTAAATTTGAAAAGATAGACACTTCTATTTGACGGCCCTTCAATTACCAAAGGGTTAGAAACAATTTTCAGAGAACTTGGTGCAAAAGTTGTTTATGCTTCAGGTATGAGTTTTCAAAATCTTCTGGGCAGGGTCTAACGAAAAATCTGGTTTTCGTGAAATTCGTTATAAAGATTATACCTATTCAGATAAAAATTTGACAAACGAGGTCAGTTATCGTAGATACACTGGTCACTGCAGATTCAGGTTTTCTCCCCACTCTTCTCTCTTCATCTATCTCATGAAGAGTAAATGACAACGCAATCCAATGACAGTCAGTCTTCAGGTTTTGTTTTCTCTATAAGTGTGAAGATGCCAACGTAACTGGCGAAACGTGTCGACATCTGTATCAAACTTTTTAGGTGTTCTAGGTACGTTGTGTTGTTGTAGTGCGCCGAATAATGAAAGTGAAAATTTTTCTTAAATGGTCACAAGGTTTGTAAATTGTAGGTATTTTCGTTGTAGTTTATTAAATTATATTTTGAACAGTCGGACGTCGACAGCACCCTTGACACCTTCTTTTTTAAATCATAGAAATGTACCTATTTAATAGTGGAATATGAAAATTTTTAGTTACAAATTCTAGCTAGTTTCAGAAACACTTCTAATTTTTCTTTACTTTTAGGCTTTTTCGACGTTTCATGACCCCTAGTGTATGAAAAAGTAGGTCCCCGTTTCCGTCTGTCTGTCCTCCGTGGTCTGTAGCCTGTTGTCTGTAGCCGTCTGTATCAACTTTTATTACACATCTCTGAAACTATGGACCTATTGTTCTTAAATTTCGTGTAGATGGTAAAATGGTAACCAAATTTGGATAATCATCCCGACCAGCAATCTCCAAAATACAATAGTAATTTGTTTTTTATTGTATTCCATAATACTATACACTTGTGGTGTATGAATCCGTTTTGAGTTTTTACCCTACACGCCCAAATTTTTGAAAAAAAAAATCAAAATTGTTAGAAATGTTGCGAAAATAGTGGATATGTTTCAAAGTACTTCAGGGGCGAGGAAAATACTGGATCTTCATACGCTAGCATATATCACAGTTGAAAAAATCACGTTGGTGTTGTTTTTTTGATCGAAGAAATGCATAGGTAAATTCCATTTGACAGAATTGTTGAAAAGTGTCAATTTTATGATACTGAAAAATGAGGTTAGGTTGTATCATGATGACTTTTTCAGTTGAACACCCGATTAACTAAAATAATAGCCTACTTTTGATTTTGTTTTAAATCTTAGATTCTACCCTTGTCAAAATAGAATTCAATTCCCACTGTCCAGTAATTAAAATAAGTCAGTGAAATAGAGAAAAAAGGTGGGCGGAGCTGAGTTTAGCTTTTTTCTAAGAATCTACTAAGCAATAGTAGCCCCGCCCATTGACACCCTCGTCGTTCCAGTGACTACTCTTATTATTATGCAGTCTTACCTTAGCAAATAATAGCCCCGCCCACCCGCCCTCTATTTTCTTAGAACGTATGTCATTTGCCAAAATTAGTCTTATCTTAGCAGGTACTTGGCCCGCCCACCCGCCCTCTCTTTTCTTAGAGGATATATTATGTGCCAAAATCAGTTCTATCTTAGCAAATACTAACAAAAAAAAAATGAAAAATTGAAGACGTCAAAAACTGAAAAATCGAAAAATAGATACATAATTAAAAATTGAAAACTAGTGAAATTCTTTCTTTAGAGCCAATAAGAACGAATCATCAAAATGGAGTAGGGGTGGGTGGGCGGGGCCACTTTTTACTTTGTTTTAAATCTTAGATTCCACCGCTTGTCAAAATAGAATTCAATTCCCACTGTACAGTAAATAAAATAAGTCAGTGAAATAGAGACAAAAGGTGGGCGGAGCTGAGTTTAGCTTTTTTCTTAAGAATGTACTAAGCAAGCAGTAGCCCCACCCACTGACACCCTCGTCGTTTCAGTGACTACTCTTATTATTAAGCAGTCTTACCTTAACAAACATTAACCCCGTCCACCCGCCCTCTATTTTCTCAGAGTGTATGTCATTTGCCAAAATTAGTTTTGTCTTAGCATGTACTAGGCCCGCCCACCCGCCCTCCCTCTTCTTAGAGGATATGTTATTTGCCAAAATCAGTTCTATCTTAGCAAATACTAATAAAAAAAAATAAAAATTGAAGACGTCAAAAATTGAAAAATCGAAAAGTGGATACACAGTTAAAAATTGAAAACTCGTGAAATTCTTTCTTCAGAGCCAATAAGAATAAATGATCCGAACGGAATAGGGGTGGGTGGGCGGGGCTACTTATTATTTTGCTTTAAATCTGAAATTCCACCTCTTGTCAAATTAGATTTTAATTCCCACTGTACAGTAAATAAAATAAGTCAGTGAAATAGAGGCAAAAGGTGGGCGGAGCTGAGTTTAGCTTTTTTCTTAAGAGTCTTGTAAGCAAGCAGTAGCTCCGCCCACTAACCCCCTCTTCTTCGTTCCAGTGATTACTCTTATTATAGTATGCATTCTTACCTTAGCAAATACTAGCCCCGCCCACCCGCCCTCTCTTTTCTTAGAAGGTATGTCATCTGCCAAAGTCAGCTTTATCGTAGCAGATACTAACCCCGCCCACCCGCCCTCGCTTTTCTTAGAGTGTATGTCATCTGCCAAAATTAGTCTTATCTTAGCATGTACTAATTAGAAAAAAATAAAATTGTAACTTCATTGCAATAATTGAAAAGTACAAAATCAACTAAAAAAATCTTAACTGCTAAAAAATCAAAATATGTATATCAATTATATTCCTACTGTTTTGGGTCACATGATAGTAGCTGCCAAGATAAGACTGATTTTGGCAAATCACATGCCTTCTAAGAAACGAGAGGGTGGGTGGGCGGGGCTAGTATCTGCTAAGATAAGACTGAAATGGCTGATGAGATACTTTCTAAGAAAAGAGAGGGTGGGTGGGCGGGGCTAGTTCTTACTAAGATAAGCGTGATTTTGGCAAATGAGATACCTTCTAAGAAAAGAGATGGTGGGTGGGCGGGGCTAGTACCTGTTAAGATAGTACTGATTTTAGCAAATGACGTACCCTCGAAGAACTTTAATTAAATTATTATGAGAAAAGACACTAGAGGCTCCAAAGCACTTCCAAATTCTTTCCAAACAGGAATACCTAGAACCTCAAAATTGTTTTAAATTTTTCAAAAAAAAGAAAACTGGGTCTCAAAATTAACTCAAAAACTGGTAAGGTTAGAATTTTTCAAAAACAGGACACTAAAGTCCCCCAAAATTGTTTTAAATAATTTAGAAAAAAAGTCCCCCCACCCACCCTCTATTTTCTTAGAGGGATCTCATTTGCCAAAATCGATCTTTTTTCAGCAGGTACTTACTTAATATTTTGGATGGCTAGAAAAGGAGAAAAAATTTCCAATTTTTTACCTCTTTAACCATTTTCAGGTACAGAAAAAATACCTTTTACCTACAAGGTGTTTTAAAATTAAATTCATAAAGTAGGGAAAAATATAATTCTGCGTATTGAAAATGGAAAAACGACTGAAAAGATCTAATTAAAAAAAATGTATTTGCAGATTGCAACTAATTTTATTTAGTTTTTTGAGGCATAACTGACAACTTAGTTTTCCTTAATAGAACACCCTATATATTTTTAGACATTTTAATTAACCTCTTCCTAGGTTTTATAACCATAGTTTATTTTAGAAATTCTGATGCGACATTGCCACGTTATTCCAATTTTCTGGATTTTTTTGGTAACGTAAGGGTTAACAAAAAAATAACAATCATGTTATATTTTAGATCGTGTTGGAATATTTCAGGGAGAGATAAACCGAGGTAAGAGCTATATTGTGGTATCAATTCAATTAAATTTTAACATACGGCGTATTTATAAAAAAAATTATAACCCACAAATTTCTAACATGAATATTTCAGTGTTTTCAAACAGGACACCCCGTGTATTTTTTGTTCTCGTTCTGTCAATATATCAATTTACCTCTGAAAAAAGTAAAAAATTGCAATAACTATCAATTTTAAATATACTAAAAGGAACAAAAATAGAAGAAAATGTAGTAAGAAAATACAGGTTGTTTCATTTGAAAAAACCCACATCGATATTTGAAAATTGTAAAAATTATTGTTTTATAATTAACCTGTATATTAAGACTCAACTTTATTTGCAACATAAGAAAGACGTACCTTTTTTTTACCTCCTATTATAATTTTTTTGTGAACCGTTCCATAAAAATCTGAAGAAAACTGGAACAACGTGACAACAGCGCATCTGAACTTGAACATTGTAGTAATTTGAAAGAATTTCGAAAACCACTTGTGCCTTGTTTTCGAAGTCATCTCAAAAATCTTGAAAACTACTTTTGTTTTGGTTTTGAAGTAATTTGAAAGAATCTCGGGAACCCTTTGTGCCTGATTTTTGAAATAGTTTAAAATAATGTTAGGAACCCCAAGATTTGGTGTTTTCATGCTATAATTTTTTAAAGAAAACGTATGTGATTGAATTCTCAGTGATAAATTCCTGGACATTTTAAACAGAATGTTTCCTATATTTTAGATAATATTGCAATTACGACTAAAAAATTCCAAAATTGGAAAAAACCGAAAGGGAAGAAGTTTTAATCGAATAAATCAGTAACAAGTACTAGATAGCGACAATTTTTTTTTACAGTTATATGCGCTTTAACTAAACGTCAACTGTCCTCCACATGACCAAAATTCGTTGGAATTACCAACCCTCGCAGAAAAATCCCGCCCCACCGCAATTTCCCCGACAAAACGCGTTTAATTAATGAGCGCTTAAACGCCGAATTGTGCAAGAATATGTGTCGATTTGCTCCAATTCCTCATTTGGCGGAATTGTTAGGTGGTGAGCGAGCGAGGGTGGCCCCATTCAGGCGTAGAACAATGCCGTTATTACGTCAGTCTAAATGACAGAATGCATGTTGACTTATTAGCTGATCTTCCGGGGATTCGACTATTATTTATGTTACCCTCGGGAGGGCTGATGACATTCTGACGACACTCGCAGGACAGCATTATTATGTATACGCAGAACAGTTATTAACCTGTTGACGTCAGATGAGCAAACTTTGGGGACGTCGTTGACGAGATAATCTTGCGGAAAAAATCGATTTCATTCGAAATTACGTATCGATGAGTGGATGGCCTTTGGAGCTTTATTAATGGATCGCGCGATTAGGATTTTTGCAAGTCGACGAAATTTTGCGGAAATGAGGGTAAATAAACATGGTGGAAAGGTTAATGGCTTGATAGTCGGAGAGAGAGAGATTTTCCATTCATAATAATAGTTGGTGCGGGAAGATTGTGGGACTAGTTCTAGTGCTAGACTACAACTATTTGGAGCTTTAAATCAATAGAATATTCCACATATTCGTACGTCGCTCTTACTTATTTCTTGGTTATACCCTGCTATTGTTGTATGGCTTTACACACACTAAATAAAAAATTAAACACTCAAATACATACAGCGAAAAATTAAGTTGTGTGTTCCAAATCATAATTTGTACAACTATGTTGCAAATCTGTGAAATGAACCACGACGTGACGTATTTTGCGCTGATAAGGATTCAGGATCATGAATTAAATGTGCGGAGCTTATAAAAATTTCCTTCTTAAAATAGAGTTTTACTATCGTTATCAAGGTCAAAGATTATTATTAATTAATACCAGAGAGAAATCGCTCCAAAATAGACATGGTTCAATTTTGAAATTTTTTCCACATATGTATCTACTTATAATCAAGAGATCTCCGAAATTCTTTCAAACTATGTACTAATACTACCTAATTTTTCTAATGTCTTTTGTGGTTCATAAGTATATAGGCACCATTTGGTCTAAAGTTATGTCGTTTAATTTTGTTTAATTTGATTTTGCTTTTAATTTGGCTTCCAAAGCTAATTCTAAAATGTCCTTATATAATTTTGATTCTTTTTCCAAAAAACTGAATGTGTAGGGTACAAACTCAACACGGATTCATAAACCACAAATGCAAGAGTGTGTTATTTTATAAAATTTAAATAATATTCGACTAAATTTTAAGATGACGTCTTCACTTTAGGGGTGGGGCAGTAGTTCAATATGTATAACTTTTTAACTCAGAATTTTTTTGCTTAGTTTTCTTAATCAAAAAAGTTAAGTTATAATATTTTAATAATAAATCAACAAATTTTGATTGAAATTAAATGTCACTCTCAACCATGTCAGATTTCGACTTAATTCAACTTTTTATGTCCATAATACATCGAAAGAATTCGACTATTAAGCACGTATAAATGCTGGTGATTTTGTGTTAAAATAAAATTTTATTGATTTTGTCTCCTGAAAACAGAGGAAAAGGCTGACTTCAATTAAGATACAATGGAGCAAAACATTCTGAAGTTTTTTGAGTAAGTGGCTATTATTTTGATAATTATTTTAGTTACGCCACTGGGTCACATTGACGATTGTTTAATTTCTGAAATCATGTCAAAATTTTGCCGAACAAATTCTACCCAAAATGTGAAAAATATGATGAGTTTTCACTTGTGATTTATCATTGTATTCATATTTTTTAGATTTGCCCCCTATTTTCTCGGAAGATATGTCATTTGCCAAAATTAGTCTTATCTTAACAAGGATTAGCCCCGCCCACCCGCCCTCTGTTTTCTTAGAGGGTATGTCATTTGCCAAAATGAGTTTTATCTTAGCAAGTACTAGCCCCGCCCACCCGCCCGCTATTTTCCCAGAGGATATGTTATCTGCCAAAATAAGTGTTATGTTAACAAGTACTAGCCCCGCCTACGCGCCCCCTATTTTCTCAGAGGATATGTCATTTGCCAACATAAATCTTATCATAGCAAGTACTAGTCCCGTTCACCCACCCTCTATTTTCTTAAAAGGTATATCATTTGCCAAAATACTAGTATTTGCTAAGATAAGACTGATTTTGGCAAATGACATAATCCTGTGAGAAAATAGGGGTGGGCGGGCGGGCCTAGTACTTGCTAAGGTAAAACTGATTTTGGCAAATGCCATACTCTTTAAGAAAATAATATGCACAGTTCTTTAAGGACTATACTCTAAAATTATTTATAACTACATAGGTAATTCTGAATGTTTTTAGATGAGGTGAAATTACCAAAATATAAAACTTGGTGTTCAAAATGATAAATTTTTGTAGGAAAGTCTGGATTTTGCCATTACGCTCGGCCCCTCAGTCTAACAACGAATGAAAAATTCATCACAATTGAGATCGGGTGGGTGGGCGGGGCTTATATATTCGTATAGAAATCTGGATTTTGCAATTACAATCCGCCTCTCAGTCTGACAACGAATGAAAAATTCATCACAATGGAGATCGGGTGGGTGGGCGAGACTTATATTTTGCCCTTTTTTTTCTTAATATGTGTAATCTTCTTTCGGATAGAAATTTAATATTTTGCAAGTCGGCACATCACATAAAATTTTGTGGCGAAATTTTAGTCAAACATTTAAAATTTATATTTTGGTCACAAAATGTCAAAATTTAGATTTCGTGATTTTTGGGATCCATAAAAATTTTGGTTTATATTTTTAGACTACTTGTTATTTTTCGCTTTTTTGATCCAAAGTATTTTCAGTTTTTTTTCCGTGCAGAAATTTTTAAAATTTTAATACGGAAATTTTTGTTAAAATCTTTAAAATTTATATTTTTGAAAAAAATGTCAATGAAAACATTTAAAATTTAAGATTTTTATCACCCACTGTAATACTTGGATCTTAAAAATTTTAAGTTATTTATTTTTAAATAATTTTCAGAAGTTTGACTTTTGTACAAGAGTTTTTGTTTATATTTTTAGACCTTTGTGATTTTCTTTTCAGCTTTTCTGTTCCAAATTATTTTCAGTTTTTTCCAAAATGTGCCGAAATTTTCAAATTATTTCTCGGTAAAAAGTCTCAATTAAATTTTTTTTTTTCAAAATAATGCTAACATTTAAAAAATTATGGGTTGCATAATTTGAAAGTAATTATCAAAATTTCGCTTTTTTGTGATTTTAGGATCTACAGGAAATTTGCTTTATTTTTTAGATCTTTCTCGGCTTTTGGAATTGAAATAATTTTGAATTTTAGTGTTTTTTTGATGTGTTGAAATATCCAAAACATAAAATTTGGTGTTCAAAATGATAAATTTTTGTAGGGAAATCTGGACTTTGCAGTTACCCTCCGCCTTGATATATATACTTTCTTAAACTTAAATAAGGCTAATTCTATAAAAATACTGGATCACGTAACATTAAAAGTTATAAGTAACATAATTGGCAACTAATTATCACAATTTAGCCTTTTTGTAATTTTGGGATCTACAAGAAATTTTCTTCATATTTTTTGATATTTTGTTCTCAACTTTTCGGATTGAAATCATTTTGAATTTTAGTTATTTCCAAAATCTGTTGAAATTTTCAAAATTTTGTGACGCAGTTTCATTCAGAATATTTATAATTTATATTTTATTCACTAAATATCAAAATTTTGTCCTTTTTGTGATTTTTATGATCCCCAATAATATTTGCCTATATTTTCAGAGCTATTTTTTGAGTTTTTATGATCCAAAGTATTTTCAGATTTTTCCAAAATGTGCCAAAATTTTGAAAATTTTTGTCGGTAAACTCTTAATGAAAATAATTGGAATTTATATTAGAGTCCTGTTTTAACACATATTAGTTTTTTTTTATTATTAAATACCCTATATATTTTTACATATTCGTATTAGCCTGTTCCTAGGCTTTATAACTACGCTTTATTTTTGAAATTCTGATGCGACGTTGCCAGGTTATTCCAATTTTCTTGAAATGTTTTATCAGTGTCAGGGGTTTACAAAAAAATTGCCATAACGCCATTTTTGTGACCTATACGCGCTTTGTCATGGTATCAATTAAATCAAATTTTAAAAGACAGGGTGTTTATAAAAAATAAACGTTACAATTTTTCAAATATCGATAATTCAGTTGTCTTAAATAGAACACCCTGTATTTTATTACAACCTCTTGCTCAATTTTTTGTTTTCGCTCTTCCAATAAGTCGCTAAAAAACTAAAAAATCTCCATAACTACCAACTTTTAAATATTGAAAACACCAGAAAAAAATACAGGATGTTCTACTTGAAAAAACTGAAATATCGAAATTTAAAAATTGCTACAATTAACTTTTTTATAAACACTTTATATATTTTCTGTAACCCAGATTTTAAAAATAATAGCGATTTTTTGTGAACCCTTCCATTAATAAAACAATTGGCCGAAAGTTATTTAAACAGAACTTCCCTCGCTCCTGAAATAAAATGAAACATAAAAATACACACCCAATCAGATTTAGGAATTTAACTCGTTACTATGGAAATTTGCAATTTAACAGCTTTTAATTTTAACAAGTTTTTATAAGATTAATAGAGACGAAATCAGTCTTATCTTAGCAAGGAGTAACCCCGCCCACCCGCCCCCTTTTTTCTCAGAGGTTATGTCATTTGCCAAAATAATAGCACATACTAGCATTTTGGCAAATGACATACATTTTAAGAAAATAGAGGACGGGTGGGTGGGGCTAGTACTTGCTAAGATAAGACTGATTTTGGCAAATGACATAATCCTCTGAGAAAACAAGGGTGGGTGGGCGGGGCTAGTACTTGGTAAGATAAGACTAATTTCGGCAAATGACATATCTTCTAAGAAAACAGGGGTGGGTGGGCGGGGCTAGTACTTGTTCAGATAAGACTTATTTTGGCATATAACATATCCTCTGAGAAAATAGGGGGTGGGTGGGCGGGGCTAGTATTTGCTAAGGTAAGACTGATTTTGGCTCTATTAATCTTGTAAAAACTTAATAAATTTAAACGGTGTTATATTGCAAATTTCCATACTAACGAGTTAAATTCCTAAATCTGATTGGGTGTTTATTTGTATGTTTCATTCTACTTCAGGAGCGAGGGAAGTTCTGTTGAAACAACTATCGACCAATTTTTTTATTAATGGAAGGATTCACAAAAAATCGCTATAGGGTTATTT